AAAAATTAATTCACGGATAAACGTGGCTCGGTCCAATAAATTATTAACGGCTTAGGCCGGTCGTTTTGTTAAAACGAATTCACCTTTATTGTATTTATTGTTATCTTTTCGAGTCAAGTCCTTGATAATTAGTGAAATTCGAACGCTTGCTGCTGAAAATAAGCATTTATAGTTATAGTATATAACAATATACTGTTAGTTATAAGGTCGTTACTGATTTACATTTGCTTTAATGCTTCATACATATTCTAAAATTTTAGTTATACACTTTATTCCTAAAAAGGTTATTGACGGTTTCAGTTACAAATGGCTAAAAACGGTCGTAAGGAAGTGGACCAGCGTAGGGGTGAAGAAAAAAAAGAGCCACAAGTACGAGATGAACAACAAGAAGCTTTAAGAGAAAAGGCCATCAAAAATATGGCTAGGCGGCCAGACTATGGAAAATCCGGTCGTTCCACTCACGTGCTTACGAATTATTTCGAGATCAAAAAGGTGATGCTTTGCATTTTTTATTATAAGATTTTTGTGAACTTTAATATTTAAAAATCAAATAATTTAATAGACGGCGAATAAGTCATATCTTGAAAAATACGAGATCACGATGAAGCTTGTGATCCAACAGAGACCTGAGGGAGAAGCTAACCAAAGAAGACGTGCCCCAAGGCAGCAAAAACAACTTCCTGTAAATGTGCAACGTGCGGTATTTCAACAATTAGAAAGACAGGAACGTAATGGCTGGTTCAAAGGAGTTGGTGTGGTTTTCGATGGTATGTATACCTCGCATTCATTAGAATGCAATCAACGGTTAATTTATAACATGCTTAAGGATGCTTATTTGGGAAATAGGTAACACGACTCTTTATTCCACCGATTTATTAAAGTTAAATAATTCCGATTCTGGGAATACATTGGTAAGGTTTTTTCATTTATTAATAATTTTTTAGATAATGATCTTTGTGTCTAACTTTTCTGGTTGACCTTAATGCACTTTCAGGTTAGTTTAAGTGATGATCAGGACTCCAGGGGAAACCCAATGGAATATAAGGTTGAAGTTCAGAAACTTGACAAGGTTGACTTGGATGAATTGAAAAAATGCCTTGAGGGTACAGAAATGAAATGGGAATATTTCGACTTAGGTGATTTTATATTGTATTAGAAATTTTTTA